TGTTTGTGTCGTAGTCACAATCCATCCCATGGAATCATGTTGGTTCATGATCAGGTAGCATGGGCTTGCTTTGACGTTCGAGCGTTGCTCGTGTTGAGATTACGGGCTGCTATGCACTAGGTTCGAACGTATCCGAGTCGTACCCGCCTCGCACCCCCGATTGCAACATAGTGGTTCCAAAAGAGTAACGCGAGTTATCATAGTAGATGACTGGGATGCAAGAAAACTACAAATGTGGAAAAAACTTGGTCCAAGCTACTGTAACGTATACGCCAGACGGCAGCGATTGCGGGCTTAGGATCAAGAGTACAATTAATGTAACACGTGCAGTAATGTATATCAAAATGCTGATGATTGAAGCAACAAACAAAGAAATTCCGATAATATCACGCAGAACAGAAGATGAGTTACTCATGCCAGACGACACAAAGCTGGAAGAAAGAAGGATAGGTACCGGTGAACACATGATCATAAGGGACGCTGCACGCCATAACAGCTGCTCCGTCTGTCTGTGAAACAAAAAATTCCAACCCAGACAATGTATCCCTCCAAACACCATCCCACAGAAACATCCAATGAGGGTTATGATAACACCATGATACTCACCATATCCACCTAGAGACGGAACCCGACGTGAACGGGCAGCACGGGGGGAAATGGTGACTTCAATGCCCATAAGACTCGTAATGGGATAGACAAGATAGACGAAATAAGGACAACAGTCACAATAAACAGGCACATCTTGTATATCGTCCTTGCTAGAATGTAGGTGAATCAGAACAGCCTCGAGCAAGAATATTATCGACATACTCGTAGGTTAGTTTTCTCGGCAGAGATGCAGTTGTTTTCCAATGAACAGTATAAGGACATCCTACATCCTTAGGCTTCTTCCACCAAATGCGGTAGGCAATGCAGGTCAATGCCGCTACAGCCAGGGTGTCAATTTCAAGTAGTGTGATTGGAAGGTTCTGGGCGTAACGAGCGACGAGCTGGAGGACGAACCACACGAGCTGAAGAATGGCAATGCCTTTCGAGAGTCCATCACCCTTGCTTCGATCTGCAATCTCTGCCTCCGTGATGACAGGCATGTCCACGGATCCCTCACGAATAAATGTCTGGAGTTCATCGGGATCAAGAGTGGCTCGTGGCTTGTCATTGACATAGAGCATGAATCCACCCATCCATGCGAAGAACCCATGCGTCACGGTCCATTCTGTCAAGGTATCAGTTGAATGTTAGTTGCCGCTGACGAGAGGGTCTGAGCATGTAACCGACCTCGAAAATTGCGAACCGCAGCTTTGGGAGCACTTCCTTCATCCGATTCTGAAATTTCATGAAGCAATGTAGCTGTACTCTCTGCTATATCTCCATGGTCGCCATTGGCCTGGGCATGTTGCGAACCAAATTCATCATTAAATTTCTTTGCAGCTGCACGAGCACTGAAAAACTGCCGCGCGGCCCAGGTGATCATGAGTTCTGGGGCGATCAGCGCCATGACCATGATTAATAGACGACGAGAGGTCATGGCAAGTTTTCCCTCTTTCATGCCCGGAATGTTCGGGTGGATGGCAGTCCATGCGCATGCGAAGAGTGTTGCGGCGCAGCTCCATAGGATGTCCCACAAAGTTCTGGTGTCACTGCAGGATGGACAGTCACTGACGTCGAGGGTAGGGATAGAAGTGCCATTGAGGCTTGGTTGTGAAGCGTAAACAAACGGTATGTATAACAAGATAGCCAAGGGTATGAGGGTCATGGTGATGTCTAGAGCATACATTTGTTCATTCCGCACCTCTCTTTATGGATGTGGTCGCATGCATGAGACGCCAGGTTTAAGGGCCATGCCTCGAGGCTAGCATAATCACCACTGGTGCTGGGAATTCATGATGGCACTGTGCACGTTCATGATTAGGCTGCGCAACGCTCAACGCATGCTGGTATAGGGACCTTCAGAGACGTGTTGATATGCGGTGATGTGATACTCATCTCATGTCCCAAAAGCTGAAAAAGAGAATATGATCGTCCGTTTCTGTACATGTGTTAATTATGATGCCTACACACGTTCAGCTTGATTAGGGAAACGCACGGGTACGGGTAACACCGCGGTTCTATGCTGACGGGTTTGGAGGGTACGGGTACGGTGTAGGATAGTCATACCCTTGAGCACACCGCGACCCTTTACCGCGGGTTGGCGGTGTTTGGACAGGTATGACCTACCAAATTGGGAACTTTGACAGCCTCTTTCGACTGAGAAGCCACATAGCCAGACGCGTGAGGCTCAAGAGGACTCTCTTAGTAGACGCATTTATTCATTTGGACGACTGGAGGAGCTCCACGGCAGCCGGAGTTGAGATGATGATCGTGTACTCGTGGCAGGTGCCGAGCGTAAGGTTCCTTCACATTAATATTCCTACGACGAAGATCAGTAGTGGAAGCGATGTTGCTCACGCACATTCAGGAGTCACCGGTACTGCAAACGTATGATAACAACCTTGCACGCGACCTTCATGTCCTCGAAGCGCATCTCCTGCACTACCAATCACTCCTTCATGATTTCGAGGTATCAGTAACGTTTATCGAGGAAACCCCCAATCCGGCCATGGAGTCCTCCGTCTTCTCTGACGAGCAGCGCGTAGAGGGGAATGAGCTTATGAGGAAGGAGTGCAGGAATTTGCTCATCGAAATTGATCGTCTAGGAAGGCGACAGACAATGCTAAGCAACCGGTTGAAGAACGCGATGAACCTTGCATTTGCGATCGTTAATATTGAGGATAGCAGGCATATGCATAGTCTTGCACAGGCGACGATCACAGACTCAGCGAAACAGGTATTTTGCCTTTCTCAGCGAGGTGACACATCAGATCCTGACAAAACTACTTTTCAAAGATCTCGTACCTCACGATGGTCTTCCTGCCAGCAAGCTTCATTGCCGTGAGCATACATAGAGGTCTTTATGCGGAACCTACCTGACCACATATGTCGTCAGTCTATCTTCGGGACGAATGTCAAAGACATCAATCCTGAAAGACACACTCGCTACCTACGCGGAGAGCACCATTTTTCTCACGCTCTTCACAGTATATATCGTCATCATGCTTCAAAGACATCGCTCGATCCACGGACCTCAGGCTACCTTGCTGCAGCATGCAGCGTGGCCGATTTTTTTCCTCTGGAGGATTATAATGACCGCGGCACAGCACAGGAAACCTCGCGTGAGGTCCCGGACGCAATATGATATGGTATGATGATATGGATTCAAATATTCATGAATATATAACGTTTGAGACGGGGAAAAAATACCTTTTAAGGCAGAAATGCAGGACAACAATTCTGCCTTGGGTCCGATGACCGACTCAACAGGTGGTAATACTTGCGCGAGACAGCGTATTGCCTTGGCAGGGAAGCCAGACATCTGAAGAGGGAGTTGAATGCTAGCTTTACGCGACGAACGAGCCCTAGGGTGGGCTCGGAGAGCCTCAGGCGGACGTCGTCTGAATACCATGAAAGCAAAGGAGTCGAAGAAAGAGGCTTTTCTTGCTTGAATTCCTTGCGGGCTGGAGAACCGAGTGAATCCAACGTGCACTCGTCGGCATCATTAGACTTTTATACTCTCCCCAATCATGACACCTGTGATGTCATCACTGCGTGTACTGCATTGGAGGGAAGATGTTGATGAGCATCAATCAAAACTCAGCGGTGAAGCTGACCAACACACACGAACGGAAAAACTCGAAAGGCCTCGTAAAACCTAGCGGTGATCAGTGAGCAGTGCAAAGCATTGCTCAGCGTTGTGGAAGCACCAAAATATCGGCCCAAGTACCTAGAGACGTCACTTTTCGGAAAGTATCTTTACTACAACTACATCGAAGACATGCGCCCGGCCAACCTCAACCAAATGTGTACGAATTAGTGACTTGGTCCCACAGCTTCTTAGTGTCAACCACAGCACCCAACCTGGAAGCGAGTAGGAAAGCCCCGCTCAGTTTCCGTGGGTTTGAAGGGGGTAGCCAGGAGGACCATGGAATCGATGTGCGTATTTAGCATGACCTGTAATTCAAATATATTCCATGAATACGTGTGCGGGACGGTGATGGCGGGGGATGAACGTACTTTATTCTCTTCTCCTGTGAGATATCCAAGTTTTTGACTCCATTCTGCGCATGTAGTACGGTCCTCGGATGCAGTACGATCCTCAGATGCAGCGGCTTGAAGGAGGCAGAGCCAGCTGTCCATGAATTCTTTCATGTACTCACGTGTCAAGCTCGATGATTCGTGATGCAATCCACCACGATATTCTTGATATTCAAGACCAATGATAGAAGAAGAAAACAAATTGCGTACCTCATTCCGCTCCTCCTGTGGCAGAGCTCCAATAATAGTGTCTCCAACGCTGGCACCTTCTGCATGCTCCATCACAAGCACACGCTCTGCAGTACCTGGCCACACCCACGGACCTTGAACCGTGCATCTGCACCAAAACACTTTAGTCTCCCATACCGCCCGAGGAAACTTGCCTCGCATGAGTAGTCACATTCGTCAGGAAGCTCGCCTTTCGTTACCTTGAATATTCAGGTAGGAGGTGGCGAGTATCCAGATAGGAACAAATTAGGCAAGGGGGAGAACCAAAAGACAGCCAATCAGTACGCGACAGGGAGAGCGCTGTAGAATACACACCTGAATCGTACGGTCAAGGTACAATCCCCGGGGAAGCAAGCTTCCAGCGGTAAGAAGAAGCATCTCGACATAGCCAAGGTTGCTTCAGATTGATTTGGTAATGTTTGGGAATTGGATCTTGACAGCGACACGTTGACCATCTTTGCCAGACGAACTCTGACTGGGAGCGAGGACAGGGTTGTGCACTTGACCGATGCTCGCAGCTGCAAATAGTATACAGTCGAACAATGTAAAATTGTCGACCCATGATTTGCCTAGAGATGTACAAAGCACTTGTTTCATTTGCCAGTCTGTCATGTATTGCGCACTGTCTTGAATGTGGCAGAAGATTTTGTCGACTTCTGGGGTAGGAGGTGAGTATCTGGCGCCCGGATCAGCGACGGAGAACGTAATAAATAGTGATAAATGGATGTGCACCTTGGATGCTCATGAACTGGCCGAGCTTCAGTGCGGCATCGCGCATCTGGGAGAGTTTAGACACCGGACGGGTTATGTTTGCTTCGGTCATCACGACTGGTTGTGTATTGTCTGCATGAAAGGTGGTAGAGCGACATAAGAGTTCGGAAGCAGCACCGTATGAAAGCGCTGCTGCAAGGCCTGTGACTACGAGTTAGCAAAGTGCGAAGGAGGACGTGTGATGATAAATGACGAGTAAGAAACAACTCGCCGCCATAGTGAAATAGCCGACCAAGTCTGGACGAAGGGACCTTGGATGACTGGAGGCTGCGTGAGACAATCGGAGGGGAGTCTACCCGGGTACTGTATGCTAAAGAATGTTGAAATTATGAATACTAGACACCAGTGTTTGAAGGGCCAATGGTGCACCAGGCATGCTGGCGGGAATCTCCACCAGCTATGTCACATTTTCACACAGACTGAGCGTCTGAGATAATCATGAAGTTCTGCCTCATTTCTCCGTATATCTAAACGCTCAGATGGTTGGTGTACACGTGTGATTGGTGCAGGCAGCGAGTTTGTATTGTAAGAGTCTCAAACGCCACGTCTATATCCTCGCTCTATCTAACGGAAACTTTAAATTACTTCTCGATCTGGTAATTGAGTAACATGGTTGTGGCGTTGGCTATTTAGCGTGCGAAGCTCGAAGGCAACGACACAGAGAGAAGAATGCTTTCGGTCGAATGACAGGGTAAAAGTCTGGGATTCGGGGGTCCAGAAAACACTCAGGTAACTCTAGTACTCCGACTCGTATATAAGTAAGTACGGCTAGGCTAAATGAGGCTCGGGATAAACAGGGAGTAATATAATGAGATAAGGAGTAGCTAAGTTACCCATATTGAATGAATAAGAGAAATATAACAGTATCACAACGACAGGCAGATATCGAATATAAGCACATATTCGAGGGGTAAAGTTAGATGTCAAAAGAAAGACAAACATATCAAAGGGATGTGGTACCTGTGGCTAAGTGCAGTTAGTGATGTGCTGGGCCTGGCCTGGTCTGAAAGCCCTGGCTTGGGCCTGGCTTCAGAGGGCTCGGGCCTGGTGAAAACTCAGGCCAGGCCCACCCCAAGGGCCTGGGCCTGGCTTGGGCCTGGCTTGGGCCTGGCTTGGGCCTGGCTTGGGCCTGGCTTGGGCCTGGCTTGGGCCTGGCTTGGGCCTGGGCCAGGGCTTCTAATACCAAAATGTGCCAAAAGCTATATTGTGCCTATTGTACTGCATAACAGATTTAAATTTCTTCCTCTGACATCAAGATATTCCCATCACCACCCTCTCCAACCAGTTCCTTCTCCAACTCAGCCTCCAGAACAGAAGTTGGAGCAGCCTCACGAAAGATCAATTCACGCTGAAACATAAAGCGAAGAACTTGAAGGGCCTCGACCACATCAGCCTTCAAGCGATTACGACGCTTCGTAATTGTCATCCCAGCTGCAGAAAAGGCTCAT